TTTTTTGTCTAATATACAGAACTGAAAACTTGATATGTATGTAGAGATTTCAATTTGGAATATTCTTAAACTTGTAAAAAGAAAAGAAAGTAATTGCGCGAATTTAAATAAAAAAATTAAATTTGCGCGCAATTGCAAAATAAAACGTAATAACTTTGGTACTAACTTCTTATAAAATAATATTTTGGTACCAACTTTCAATTTTGTAATAATAATAATAATAATAATAATAAAAGTAATAATTACTATTACTATTATTATAATAATAATCTAAATATTAATACTCTAATGAATAGTGCGCATAGTTACGCCTATTGTTTTATAGTAATGGTACAGTTCTGAATTTTGTATAATACACTTTTTAAGTATTTTCTTTACTTCTCTTACCTGCGTGCTCTCTTAAGAAGTCGCAACCTTTTATGGTACGAGTTTAAAATGTCTAAGTAGATAATGTTTAATTTAAGTAGATAGGTAAAATCTTTTTAAAATTTTATAAATAATTTATTTTAATCTCTTTTAAATTGTACTTTTAAATTTAAAGCTTCGTGTTATAGATGTTAATATTGAAAATATAGATATTATATGCTTAAAATATGCTTTCACATGCTTTTAATAATTGGAAAAAAAGCCATGACAACATTTTTTTACAAATAAAGTTTATATATAGTATTGTTAAAACTTTGGCTCTTTGAAAAAAAATATGTTTCTGGCTTTTTAATAAATATATAATAATTTGTCTTGCACTTTGGTTTAGGATATAATTGTGTTATTATGTTTGTTTTTCTGTACTTAATGTAGCATTTATCATTTGCATACATTTTTATTTAAGTTTAATTGTTTATAATTTCTTTAGATTATTAGAAAATTCATGTTTATAGAGTTGTTATTTAGTCATAATCAAGTTGTTAAACCGAGGAAATTGTAGAGGTTTATTTATCAATTTATACTATAAATTATATAATAATATATAATTGGAGGGAGTAAGTTAAAAAGCATTTTTAAATTTTTGAAAAGAAATAATACTTTTCAATATATATATCTGTTTTTTTTTCAAAATTGTAGATCTTTTCAATGTCTAAGTAGACATTAAGTATATATGAAATCTTTTTAAAATTTAATAAGTAATTATTTGTTTGAATAAGTAATTCATTGTTTATAATTTATTAAGATTTAAATTATTAGAAAATTCATGTTAACAGAGTTGTTATTAATCATCATCGAGTTGTTGAACCAAAGAAAGTGTAGAGGTTTGTTTATCAAATATATACTATATATATTATATAAAAAATTTTGTTTATCATATGTTTTCACTAATAAAAAGTTTCTATATATATATATATATATATATATATATATATATATATATATATATATATATATATATATATATATATATATATATATATATATATATATATATATATATATATATGTTTATATATATATATATATATATATATATATATATATATATATATATATATATATATATATATATATATATATATGTATATATATATATATGTTCTATATATATATGTATATATATATATATATATATATATATATATATATATATATATATATATATATATATATATGTATATATATATATATATATATATGTTCTATATATATATATATGTTCTATATATATATATAAATACATATATATATATATATATATATATATATATATATATATATATATATATATATATATATATATATATATATATATATATATATATATATATATATATATATATATATATATATATATATATATATATATATATATATATATATATATAAAAAACTATATATATAACTATATATATCCTTGGAGTTGCGGCAGCATAATAATGTGTTAGGAGAAAAAAAATTATAAACCCGCGTTAATAACCTGTTTTCTATTGAACATAATGGATTAATAAGTTTTATTACGTGTTTTGTTCAATGTTTTCTTCCATCGCATGAACTATGACGCTGTCGCAATTTTTTTATTTTTTATTAGAAATAAAATAAATTTTAACTTTTTTTAATTTGTTTTTGCTGATGCGGTTGCAGGTTTTTCTTAACTTCTATCAAATAAACTTAAGAAACCTGTATTACTTTTGATGATGGCAAATTAATTTTATTTTGCATTTGTTTGGTTTCTTTGTATATATTTGTTTTGAGAATTTTTTTTTTTTAATTTTTTGAGAATGATTTTTTTAGTTATTAAGTTTTTTCATTTTATTGTTAACTTTAGATTAGTAAAAAAAAAGAAATAATTAGTGTTGCTTTGATAAATATGTTTATTGAAAATGATGACATTGAAATGGATGATAGGCTAGATGAAGTTATGTTTTTACAAGATGATGTAAGTGCTATAAGGCGAGTTGAATATAATCGTAGACGAAATGAAAGAAATAGACTTTGGCAAGATGAAATTATTCGTTTACAAAATGAAAGAAATAGGCTAGATTGAGATAATATTAATCAAAATGAAAGAAGAGCGGTTGGACAAGGACGAATGTATTCTATAGCAAGAAGTAATGCTATTCCAGATTATAATTATTTAGGAGAAATGAATCAAATTTGTCAGCACTGTGGTGCAAAGAAATTTCCAGATAAAACACATTTTCTATGTTGCCATATTGATAAGGTAGCTTTGCCTCTATTTTTACCAATTACACAAGCTTTACAGGATTTGTTTACATGGAGTTATGTAGATCGTAATGCTAATACTAATTTTTTAAAACATATTCGAAATTATAATGCCTGTTTTTCTTTTGCTTCTTTTACAGCAAATGTAGTTCAACCAATGAATCATGGGTTTCCATGTTTAAAATATGTGGCCAGATTTTTCATCGTGTAGGTAATCTTAGGCCTGATCAAGATGTTCCACCGATATATTCTTAACTATTTATTTATGATCCACTTGCTGCACTAAATTTTAGAATGCAACAACGTGGTAATAATCTTTGTTTACCTGATTTAATGTTTCAATTGCAAACAATAATTATGGAACAAAGTCCATTTGCTCTTGCATTTAAAAACATGGCTAAAGTAGAAGATAAAGAAATTCGTAAGGCGGCTATAAAAGGTCGCTCAGCTTCTGTTGTAAAAATGTCTTTACTTGAAGGCGGTGATAGACGTCGTTATAATCTACCTTCACATGATGAAGTTGCAGTTGTATTTGTTGGCTGATGGTGCTCCCCGAACTTCCAGGGAAGTTGCTATTTAGCCAAGAGGTCATCCTTTAAAAATTGTATTAAGTATGTCAGCCAACTTGGATCCTATGGTTTACCCGCTATTTTTCCCAAGAGGTGATTCTGGTTAGCATAATCAGTTGGTGCATAACCCTGAGCGTGCCACACTGGTTAGAAATCATGTTACATTATCTCAGTTCTACAATTATAGACTTTCTGTTAGGCAATTTTTCTGTTCATTATTTTATGGCAAGAAACTTTTTCAGCAATATGCTGTAGATGCATATGTTAAAATTGAAGGCCAGCGTCTTGCTTTTATCAGAAATAATCAAATAAGCTGAGAAGCGAGCATTATGATGCCTTACATGAACATATTAACAACATTGCCAATGATCGTAATATTAGACCAGGACGAGCTTTAAAAGAAAACTTTGAAGATGCTATGGCAATTATTAAAAAGTATGGTAAACCAGATATTTTTATTACTTTTACTTGCAACCCAAAATGGCGTGAAATAACGTAAAATTTATATCCGGGTCAGAATGCGAATGATAGAACTGATTTGATTACTCAAGTATTTAAACTCAAGTTAAATAACCTCATCAATGATATATTCAAACATGGTGTATTAGGCAAAGTTGTAACGCATGTTCAGGTTATTGAGTTTCAAAAGCGTGGTTTGCCGCATGCCCACATTTTACTTCACTTAGCAAATGATGATAAACTTGAAACATCACATGATATCGATAATTTGATTTGTGCAGAAATTCCAGATCCGATAGTTAATCGTGAACTTTATGATATTATCAAAACTTGCATGATTCACGGCCCATGTGGGATACTGAATCCAAATTCTCCCTGCATGAAAGATGGGGTGTGCAGCGAAAATTATTCTAAAGATTTTAATGCCAACACAGTAGCTGTTCACAATGGTTATCCACGCTATAGGATTCGTGATAATGGGTTGGTTATCAATATTAAAGGCAACAAAGTAGATAACCGTTGGGTGGTACCTTATAATCCTTGGTTATCAAAAAAATATCAAGCCCACATTAATGTTGAAGCTTGAATGTCTGTAAAGACTGTTAAATATTTGTACAAATACATATACAAAGGGCATGATTGTGCGAATGTTTTGATAAATGAGCAGGTTAATAACAATGAAGTAAATACTTTCTTAAATTGTCGTTATGTTAGTGCACCTGAGGCACTGTGGCGAATATTTGAGTATCCCATAAGTCATATGTCACACACTATTATCCGTCTTATCCGTTCATCTTCCTGAGAATCAGATTGTGTGTTTTAGAGAAGGAGAAGAACAAGTGGCTTTAGATCGTGCTGCTCAACGTAATACACACCTTACGGCCTGGTTTAAATTGAATTCTGAAAATGAAGGAGCCCATCGCGACTCATATGTTGACATTCCATATCACTTTGTATTTGATAATAAACATTGTAAATGGAAGGTTAGACAAAGAGGTGGAAATAAGGTGATAGTAAGAATGTATAAAGTTAGTCCAACAGGAGAATTATTTTTTCTTATATTGTTACTTTTGCAGGCAAAAGGAGCAACATCTTGGGAGGATTTGCGTACTGTTAATGGAATAGTTCTTGAAACCTTTCGTGAAGCGTGTGTTTTTAATGGTTTGTTGCAAGATGACACTGAATGGCAGAATACTCTTTCTGAGGCAGTTTTAACGCTCAGAAATGCCTAAGCAAATTTGGCAGCTGTTTTCAATTATTTTAACCTTTTGTGAACCTAATGACCCTTTGCATCTTTGGAATACATACAAAGCTTTTATGATGGAGGATTTCATTCATCGCCAAGTTCCATTTATATTAGCTGAACAAGCTACTCTTTGTCAAATCGAAAAGATTATTAATCAAAGTGGTAAAACGCTATCTGATTATAATTTGCCTGTTGTTGATGAATTCATAGATTTTAATCTAGAAAATTTAAATGATAATGTTCAGCAATCAATTGACGAAGCTAATAGAATGAGGCCGCTTCTTAATGTCAATCAATTAAATGTAAGTAATGCTGTCCTTGCTGCATTGAACGAGCAACCAAGTGTAGAAAATCAACATTCCAGATTGATTTTTATGGATAGACCAGCCGGTAGTGGCAAAACTTTTACATGTAATTATTTGATTGCTGAAACGAGCAGTAGGGGTGTTAAATCTGCTACACCTGCATGGACTGGCATAGCAGCAACTCTTTTTACAAATGGATCTACGCTGCACGGCTTATTTAAACTTCCTGTCCCAATACTGGATAACAGCACATGTAATGTGACTCCTAACTCTATTCAGGGACAATTTTTAAGGCAAGTTAGTTTGTTTATGCTTGACGAGACATCCATGATTCCCAAACACGCTTTTAATGCAATCGATCGGTTGTTAAATGATGTTTGCAAAAACAACTTTCCATTTGGAGGAAAAGTCATTCTTTTAGGTGGTGACTTTAGGCAAATTTTGCCTGTTGTGAAAAGAGGGCAACCAGCTGAAGTTGTAGAATCATGTATAAAATGTTCTTTACAGTGGCAATGGGTGCAGAAGTTTACATTACTGAAAATATGAGAGTACGTGATGGAGAAGGAGATTTTTCCGAATGGCTGTTAAAACTTGGTAGTAGAACAATACCTGTCAAGGAGGAAGATCCTTTTAAGGGATTTATTGAAATACCGCAACAGTGCATTATTAGTGAAAACGAATCAATTGTTGAAAAAATATTTGGAGATGCTCAACAAGATGATTATGCTAAACGTGTCATTTTAACAACCACTAATGTGGATTCATTGTCAATCAATGAAGAAGTGCTTGAACGTCTACATGGAGAGGTCAAAATTTATTTAAGTGCTGATCAAATAGACACTGACAATCTTAATGAAATAAATAATTTCCCTGTTGAGTTTTTGAACAGCTTAACTCTTTCAGGTATGCCTACTCATTGTTTAAAATTGAAAATTGGTTGTGTTAACATTATTTTATCGATTATTTATTTAAGTATATATTTGTCTTTAGTGTCTGGTGGGTATAGCTGGTAGGGCTGTGTTTTATATTTTATATATTTTGTATGGAGAAATATGTGCAATAGGTGGAAAAATTAATTAATAAATATGACACTTTTAAACTGGTTGCATTATAGCCCTATATTTTTATTAAAATAGAAAATGTTGCATGTTTAACCCTTTTTAATTTGCTCTCTTTTTTTTTTTTTTTTTTAGCATCTTTTGTTTCAAATGAAAATGGTGAGGTTATGCTAATTTTTTTTTTAATATTTGCAAATGTATAATTTTTATTATATTCTTCTATTTGTAACTTTAGATTCCATATCATACGATCATTATAAAACTTACCGCTCCCAACACCCGGGACCTCTCTCAGAGAGGTCCTTTAACAAATGGAAAGATAATGGCGGAATGGATGAGCCCTCCTTCAAATTGAGGGCTCATCCATACCGGGGTGTTGGGAGACATTGAAGAAAAAACAGCATCCAAAAAGGTTGTAAATGTCATCTATCAGTAGAGATATGTATGACTTTTTGGTTGCTGCTTTTTCTTCGGTGTATTTTTTTTTTAATTTTTTATACTTTTTCTTTTGTAATTTTTTTTAAATTTTGTAATTTTTTTTTTAATTTTGTAATTTTTTTTTAAATATATATTATGTTGTATATTTGATTTGTTTTAATCTTTTTTAATGAAAAATGTAATTGTTTTCTGACCAATTAAAATTGTTTTCTGACCAATTAAACCCGAACTTCAAAATATAGTTGAATTTATTCATTATCCAATTATCATAATATAATGATGCTGCATTCTTTTGTTAAAAACAATTATTTGGTAGCTTCATTTATTGAACTCACTGCTCTTAAAACTTACCAAAACCCAAGGCAATATATTTAGCTATATAAATACAATTCATTTATCTCGATTCGATTCTTTATCTTTAATGTTTGTAGTTTGGCTCCTTGAAGCATTTTATGTTTTGTTTTTGTTATTATGAGTATTGTTAATCCGTTGTGATGTTTTTTAAATTAAACTATAGTTTACTAAAAGCCAACATAAAAATTACGTTTTTGAACAAAACCAAAAAGAACAGCTGCACCCTACAGCAACTGCTGCAGTATCACAATAGGTTACCAAAAGCAGCTATACTGTTTTCCAGCTGTTGTTTTTTTTCATATATATCTACTTATCTATATAATACAATAGTACGATTGTTTACATCTCATTCATTTTTTTTTCTTTATCTTTAAGTGTTAATAATTTTGTTCATTGTATGAGATTAGTTAAACAAGTCGGCTTTCCATTAAAGATATTGGTTTCAAAATTGAACACCATTGGCAAAATGCTTACAAAATTAGGTAGTTCTTAAAAATCTGTTTTCTATTTATTACACTTTTTTTTAAATATACTTTTTAATTATACTTTTTTAATATACTTCTCTATAACAATCCTACTAATATGGAATCACGTAGCTTTTTAAATATGTTCAATTGTCGTCCCTATCGGTAATAAATATTTTAAATTATTTGATATGGTTTTCTTTACAATTGGCTAAGCTTGGCTCCTCGGTGCTGCATATGGTGGCTTCAACTTTGTTTTTTTAAGAAAAAATGTGTTTTACATATGCTTCTGTTTTAAAATATTTTTGTTACATATTTAACTATATATCATGTAAATAAATTTCTTTTAAAGATATGTAAACTTGATACTTGCTTTTTTACGGATTTTCAAAAAGTGAACAAAGGTTTAAATATATTTTTTAACTGTCTTATATGGTTTTATCAATTTTATTAAAGCTGAATAATTACTTCAAAAATATAGAGTAAAATCCAATTGCTTTTATTATTAACCTGATCTTTACAAAAATTAATGAAATAAAACTAATAATTTAACGCCAAGTTAAGGCAAAATGTATTCCGGACATTTTATAAAATTAGTATAAATATGGATTGGATGTATGCTAAAATAAATATGTTGATATACGTTAGCTATAAAGTAAATCGTTATATTCCTTTATTGTTTTTTTATAAACAAGTTTCTGCTGGATTACTAATTAAAAAAAAAGGTTGGTT